CTCTATTCTATTCCCAGCCAAGTGGCCCTGGATGGTAGGTTTTGTAGTGGGACAGTTCTGCAGAATGCCAGATTGAATAGAATACAATAGAGCTGGAAGGGACCTTGGAGGTCTTCTAGTCCAGCCCCCTGCTCAAGCAGGAAATTCAATACCATTTCAGACAAGTAACTGTCCAGTCTTTTCTTAAAAGCCTCCAGTGATGAAACACCTACAACCTCTGGTGGCAAGCTGTTCCACTGGTTAATTGTCCCCACAGTTAGGAAGTTTCTCCTTAATTCCAGGTTGCTTCTCTCCTGGATTAGTTTCCATCCGTTGCTTCTTGTCCTGCCTTCAGGGGCTTTGGAGAATAGCTTGACCCTCCCCTCTTCTTTGTGGCAGCGCCTCAAATATTGGAAGAACTGCTATTCTTCCTGGTCCTTCTTTTCTCTAGACTGGCCAAACGCAAATCCTGCAACCGTTCTTCGTATGTTTTTGTCTCCGGGCCTTTAATCATCTTAGTTGCTCTTCTCTGCACTTTTCCCCAAAGTCTCAACATGGTTTTTGTTTAATGTAAGGTTGGACTAGAAGACCTCCAAGGTCCCCTCCAACTCATTCTGTGATTCTGAATAAACAGAATAGAACTGAAACGAAGAAGCTTCTTGGATAAGAACTAGAACGTTTTCAGTGGGGGGCGGGGGGAACCCCGAAAAAGTCCAAGTGGCCTTTGATCAATATACTTTTGGGATCCCCGTCCTTCTTTTCCACTCCACAGATGTAAACGAGTGTGAACTGGAGCTGTGTGGCAACGGGAAAGGCGTGTGCATGAACACGGGCGGGTCCTACAATTGCCACTGCAACCGGGGCTACCAGCTGAAAGTGCAGAAGGGGATCAGATCCTGCACAGGTGAGACTGCCAAGAGTTGGAGGGAGGGAGGGAGGGATAGATGGGTGGGTGGATGGGTGGATGGGTGGGTGGATGGATGGAGGAAGAGAGGGATAGGTGGAGGGAGGGAGGGAGGAAGAGAGGGATGGATGGATGGATAGATGGGTGGATGGAGGGAGGGAT